AAATTACGTATAGTTAATATTAGTAACATTCAGGTTATATAAAGAAACAATCGCAATACATTATATCGAACATCAGTCAAACAAATACGAATATGAAAAAAAAAGTTGACCTACAGATTTCACAACTCTAATCACATACATATTCTACCGACATTTATACATTGTAGTAATATGTATTTTTCATATCAACATATTGGTGTATCTGTGCTCTAGGCAAACCGGAGATCCAAGATTTAAGCTTATTTTTGAACAGATTAATGCCAACGATAGTTTTGATATGTGCTGCAATAAGATTATACAGGCGAGGAGCTAAGTAAGTATAACACTTTTGTGAATTATTTTTCTGTGATTTTGTTACATAGATTGAATTAATTTTGTGGCGAGTTGCATAATGGTGTTTTCTAAGTTCATGTTTCAATTCTGTGTTGCCTTATAACAGTTTTGAAGAAGTGAAATTGCCTTGTGTTTAAAGTCAATGTTTCCTTATATAGCGCTTCTGTGGAGTAGTTCTTTTTTTATTTGTGATTATTTACAGAGTTAATTTTTGAATTTGTTTTGGGATCTATATGAGAATTACTTGCTTCTCCCCAAAAATGGTTTCAGGTAACTAAATTCGCTTTTGGGCATCATCTTAGTCAAAACTCTTCAAACGCTCCATATAAACCAAGGGAGCTCCGAATTTTTTGTGAAAATTCCTCTGGAGGAATACGACCATTGAAAGCAATGCATGGTATTTCATTTGAGAAATACCCATTTATGAAGAGTCACTACCCTGAGAGTCACTACCCTGTATATTGGTAGACAATCCGAATGAATCAATAGAAAATAGTAAGCAGACTTACTATAGAAAACCTATAGTAAATGGGCTTCCTAGAAGACTGGCTGCAGGTACCTATAGCTACTGTGTAGGTAAGTGAAAACTGGACTGAACGAATTGTTCCTTTGGATGATTTGTACTCTTGTATTTGCTCTCTTGTATCAGTACCAATATCGATATATACCAATAGAACTCAAAATTTCTTGTAGACATTTTTCTAGAGGAATACTAACATTGAAAGCAATATATGAAATGTCACTCTCCTATCAGTACCCTGTATATAGGTAGACAATCCAAATGAAACCAATGTATTGAATTAAAACTTCTATAGAAAACCTAGAAGGGCTTCCAAGAAGACTGGCCCCAGGTACCTATAAATACTGTGTAGGTAAGTGAACTAGATGATTCGTTCTATAGAAAATAAATATTGATGACTTCTTTCCTCTTGCCAAAAATTTCTTATGAAAGCTTGATGTGACAAACACTACTCAGTGATTTGAAATATTTTTTTAAGAACAATCTGAATGTAATGTATACCACATCATTCGTTCTAGATTTTACTTCGGAGTCTTGAATAATTTCATGAATTCAAAATTATTCTTTACATGGCATCATCTCTACATATTTCATCATGAATAATTGAACCAAAAACCCTTGTTATTCTCAAACAAAGAGTCTCATCAAATAACAACCGAATTTATAACAGAAATAAGAACCGAATTTATAACAGAAGAACTGAAAAAACTGATGAAAGTCGATATTTAGAAACTCAACTTAACAATTATTATAGTTTGGGGAAAACAAAGAATTGTCTTGGTAACATTGAATATACATAAGCAAGAGATATTCAAAAGCGTGAAGCTGTTGAAATATATTGGCATAGTAATCGCTCAAGACCTATCTTCTATTCAATTCAATTTCATCATGAATAATTGAACAAAAACTCTTGTTTTTTTAAGGACGTTCATGCTCTCAATATGTTGTTTATGTTCTGACTATCAAGCCGCTAGGTATATACTCTCAAATCTCTATATTTCCATGGAGTGTTTGTCAAATGGAAACAATATGTGAAAATAATCGTGAAGTTGTCCAACCTACTCCGCGTGAAATTGAGAACAAAGAAAATGATGAATTCGGATATGCCCCCAATCAAGTTTTAATCGAAAACTTACGTAAACTGAAAAAAAAATTCTACATGGAATAATAGTTTTCACACTGTTTTTTTATAGAAGCATATACTTTAGTTATGTTTACCTCTTCTTGTTGTCTCTAAGAGATTCAGATTTTATTTTTGGTATCTATTGTCTTGGGATTGTCATATCGTTACCATAAAAAATGTAGGTACATAGAACTCTTTTCTGAATGGGTCATATAACACAATACAGGCATTCCAACGTCTAGGTGAATGAGTTGTTATTCATTCGAAATTATTGAAACATAATAACTATGTTATGCAATGAATTTTATATTATGTTGAAAATTGATTTAATTTGAATTTCAAGAGATTAAAACAATAGCATTTCATTTCAATCTTGTTATTATTGATTTTATACTTAAAGAATAATTCAGACAGATGTTCAAAATGTTCTAATAGTGTAACAGTTTTCTGGTCTTGAATTCATTTCAAACATTTTGCATTGTTTCTGGGATAATGCTAGCACGAATTTCGGTTATCATTTTCTAAGTTCCCATTTCGTTTCAGTTGCATAACATGAACTCCCTATTCGATATAGCCCCAAAGAATAGTATCGAGACGAGTCAAATCCAGTGAAGGAGAAAGCTATTCCAACGAACCGCTCCGACAAAGTCACATGCCTGGGTGTGTCTAATCCAATCAATCTCCTAAAAGCCTATCAACGCACTCTTTTGTTGAAAACTTGATTTTCGAATTGATCTTGATTTTTGGTGACAATTTCTTGTGGTTTTTCTATAGAAAACCTATAGTAAGTGGGCTTCCTAGAAGACTGGCCCCAGGTACCTATAAATACTGTGTAGGTAAGTTCTACAGAAAATAATTATTGATGACTTTTCTCCTCTTGCCAAAAACTCATTATGGCATTATGACATTTTCAGACTCTTAGGACCCTGGCCATTGAAAAATGAAGGAGGAATATAGGAGACTAAGGGAGGAAAACCAAAAAATGAAGGACCATGTGGCAGACATGAAGAAAGACTGCCAGGAGCTGAACGTCAAATACGAGACGGACACGCAGAGACTCCAGGAGTTTATAGAAGAAACATGGAAGAGACTGGAAAAAGACGAAGCCGAAAATAAGGCCAAAGACGAGAAGACAGCCGAACTAATAGACAGAATAGACAAAATTGAAGGAAGAAAAACAAGAAAGGAAACCGACAAGGAAGAAGAGAAAAAGAAGAAAGAGAAAAAGGAAACTCGGAAGGACAAACCGAAAACCAACCCTGAACACGAGAAAGGAAAAAAGAAAAGGCAAGCGAAAAAGCCGACAAAAACCCTGAAACAAGGGAAAACAAAGAAGACGCACGAACTACCAAACGGCCAAGAGCCCAGGAGGTAAGTTCTGAGACGGACTCAGACGAGGACGGGTTCCAACGAGTGGAAACCAAAAAAAGCCGTAAGGCAAGAAAGAGAACGGAAATCGAAAGCCAGGAAGAAACCGAAATGGACGCGGAAACGACGTCCATAGCAGAGACAGGCATACCAACCCACCGGAAGAAAACCCTGGAGGTCCCAGTATGGCCAACCCCCAGGACGAATAAGCAAGTCCTACCAACTCAAACAAGTTCGGATACGAATCCGAACGAGAATCAGACAAGCCCCACGACACCGCCACCGATAGTTGTCCATAACAGCAAACGGTGGAACGAAATATCCAAAGGCCTCGAAGCCCGAAAAATCGGGTACAACAAGGAGAGGCTTACAAGGGATGGCATATACATCCACACAAATAATGAAGTCACAAGATACATGGAGGAATTCCGACTGAAATTCCACACCTTTACACTAAAAAAAATGTCCCGCTCCACGCGGTTATACGGGGGATACCGGAAAACGTGGAGGAAACGGATGTGGCAGAAGACCTGAAAAAACAGGGATTCGACGTGATCGAATGCCACAGGATGACATCCAGACGCACAAGGCAAACACTACCCCTATTCTTGGTAAAAGTGCACAAAAGCCAAGAAAAAATCTTCGCACTGAGAACGTGCGTAAATCTGATAGTGCGGGCGGAGCCGCAAAGAATAAACAAAGGAGTAGTAAGACAGTGCCACCGATGCCAATACTTCGGGCACGCGCAGAGATGCTGCCACGCAACCGCGCGTTGCGTAAAATGCGGAGACCAGCACGAAACCAGAGACTGCCAGAAAGAGCGAGAAGCGCCAGCCAAATGCGCAAACTGCCTGGGAGCGCACCCGGCAAGTTACAGGGGATGCAGAATGTTCCCCAAACCGAGACCCTCACAAACAGCAGGAAACAGGCCTCGACAAGCGGAGAGTCAGAGGCCCCGGCAGCAGCCAGCTCAAAGGAAACCAGCACCGAAGGCGCAACAAGCCCGAGGAAACGAGCTGGTCCAAATTTTAGGGAACCTAACGACTGAGCAGCAGAAGATCGCGCAAGCAGTCTTAGCCGCCTTAATACAAGCACCCGGACGACAGTAATGCCTGCACGAGTCCCGGACAGACTACTGGTAGGATCATGGAACATATACGGGTCCATAGAAAAACGGAACGAGCTACTGGAGCTGCTATCGCGCCTAGACATAGACTTTATGGCACTGCAGGAGACGAAATTGAGGAGCGAAAAAAGCTACCGAATCCCAGGATATAACACATACAGGACAGACAGGCCAAGGGGGCGCCGCGCCGCAGGCAGGAGGGACGGCGCTACTAGTAAAAACTGACCTAACACAGAGCGAAGACAAAAAACCATAAATCCAACTCGGAGAAGCAGTACCAGTAGCGGTATACCTTGCCCCCGCAAGGTATGAGACTAGAAAGAGCCGGCATGGCAGAAATGTTCCCAGACCACCATCCAACAGTTGCCATAGGCGACTTCAATGCGAAGTCGCGTGACTGGAACTGCAGGAATGGATACACAAGAGGCAGAGATATAGGTAAGATTACTAGAAGAATTTGAGGACATCGAGGTAGCAGCACCTAACAGCCCAACGCACTACCCGCACGAAGATCAAGTCCCGGACATTCTCGACATCGCGCTAGTGCAGAACATCGAAACTACGGAGATGGAAGTACTAGACGAAGGTTCGTCAGACCACAACCCCATACCATTCACAATAGGAAAAGGTAAAGTGGAAACAGACAACTCAACAAAGCGAGTCATCGACTGGATGAGATTCCAGCGCGCTATACATGATACAATGGGTGAGATACCACGCATCGAAACAAAAACGGATCTGAAGAACGCCATAGAACAGCTGCAATAGGCGATAACCCTAGCAATGGAAAGAAGCGCACGGGAAGTCCCAGCCCAACGCTTCAACTTCCAAGAACAGCTCCCACCAGAAACGATGGAAACGATCAGGTTAAGGAGACGCCTGAAACGACGGTACCAAAGGACTCGCGCGCCTATGGAGAAAAAGTGCATGCAAAGAGCAAACAGGATACTAAAAGAAGAATTAAAAGAAATTCGAGACAGACAATGGACTACTCGTCTGGAAGAACTTAACACTGAAGACCAGTCTGCATGGAGAATGCAGAAAGTACTCAGAAAAGGACTTCGACAGCCATGCCCACCAATACACGGTGAGCAAGGAATCGTCTACACTGACCAGGAGAAGGCGGAAGCATTCGCGGACAACTTCGAAAGGCAGTGCAGAGAGAACGACGTCCCGTTCACGGACGAAGTAGAAGAAATAGAGAGACAGGTGGAGACAACGGTACGAAGTCTGAGACAATGAACGAGCAACGCGCAATCCCTGGCTCCGACATCTCCCGAGGAAGTGAAAGACATACTGAGATGTAGGAAAACTCCAGGCCCGGACAACATGACAAACCGGGCACTAAGGGTATAACAGTCATAGCTAACATTATAAATACTATACTCAGACTGCAGCACTTCCCGTACCAGTTCAAAGAGGCAACGGTTATCCACATCCCGAAGCCCAAGAAGAACCACCTGTTCCCGACAATCACAGGCCAATAAGCTTACTACCTTCCATAAGCAAAGTGGCGGAACGTGTCATCTTGGAGAGACTAGAAGATCAAACTAGAGAGCTAGGAATCCTCCCGGATGAGCAATTCGGTTTGCTATGTCTCCAAGGCGTTCGAAAGAGTTTGGCATCAAGGACTACTGGCCAAAATGAGCGACTTCAGATACTCCAAACCAATGGAAAGATTGATTCAGTCCTTTCTAGCTGACAGGCGATGCCGATGCAGAGTAGGAGACGAACTATCAACAATCCGACTACTGGAAGCAGGGGTCCCGCAAGGAGCAGTCCTTTCACCACACCTCTTCTCCATATACACAGCGGACGTGCCCAAGCCAGAGAACAACTTCAACAAGTTGGCGCTCTACGCAGACGACACGGCCCTGCTGGCGAGATCCACTAGCCAAGCGCATGTTACAAGATACTTGCAGCAACAGGCAGACAGATTAGAGGAGTGGGCCATTAGAGGAGTGGGCTATGGAAGATCAGTATAAACCCTGACAAGAGTCAGGCAATACTGTTCACCCGCAGGTTCGTACAACCGGAAGGCAACGTCACCTTCAACGGACAAGAGATTCCGTGGACTAACAAAGCGACATACTTGGGGGTCATCCTAGACAGGAGATTAACATTTCAGTCTCATGTACGGCAGAGAATTGGAATGGCTAGACACGCCAGACAACGACTGGCACCTATCATAGGACGCAGAAGCAACATGGGGTTGAAACTGAAGTTGCTAATGATCAAAACCGTCCTCATGCCCATGATACTGTATGCCTGCACTGCCTGAGGCCTGATAGTGTAACAGTCTTCTATTCTTGAATTCATTTCAAACATTTTGCATTGTTTCTGGAGTAATGCTAGCACGAATTTCGGTTATCATTTTCTAAGTTCCCATTTCGTTCCAGTTGCATAACATGAACTCCCTATTCGATAAAGCCTCAAAGAACAGTATCGAGAGGAGTCAAATCCGGTGAAGGAGAAAGCATGCCTGGGTGTGTCTAATCCAATCAATCTCCTAAAAGCCTATCAACGCACTATTCTGTTGAAAACTGGATTTTTATCAACCCACAAAATTGCATTCTCCTGTTAGGGTCATTTTCATTTGATTCGTGGAACTTATCTCTTCTGAGGTATTTTTTTGACGGCGGTTGTTGAGACATTACAATACCTCTCCCAAACATTTTTATACAGGGTGAGTCAATAAGATTGTCATAAATCACAAAAAATGTGTTCATAACTTAACGATATCTGGCTTTCCCAGTAATAATTTTCGATTATTTTTCGTTTTCCTCCGACGAAATCCAATTTCATGCATAACTTTTCCCAAGCTTTCGTGTGAACCAGCATAGTTGTAACCGCTTCACTGCGCGTCACAATTGGTGGGCTGTCACGATGACAGTCAGAACGTACCTGTTCACTACATAGGAGAAAGAGTGAGTACGTCGAAGTAATTTTTTTTTGGGCGCCAGGTAAATTGAGATGCCAAAGTATCCACAGTTACGCTCTAATCATTTCCTCAACTTACCAAAAGAAATGAAATGAAACTGACAAGCCCCAATCCAATGAGTCCTATATTGATTATCGATACCAACAATTATTCAAACAATGTAACCTGAATTTCTAATCAACAAGAGGAAAAAAAAATATAATCGAGTATAGTTATATAGTAATTGAGTATTACTCTAATAGAACATTAAAGTTATTGAGGGAAAAATCAATGCCAAGGGTTATATTATGTATAGGACAGCTGAACGTTATTGTAACAATTATTATTTTCACAGTTTCAACCGTGAGATAACAAAAAAATATTTAAACCTCACTGAAATCACCTTCAGCTACGTTTATGACAGACAATATGTTTATCTTTTTTTTCCAAACAAAGTAAGCAAAAAGCAGGAAGTTAAGCCGCAGGTACGTAACCTCAAAATTCTATAAGATATCTGAAGTCATATGCTATGGGCCCAGAGCGCAGACGCAATATTAAAGAAACCAAACGAGTGAAATATCTACTTAATTTCCACTGTACATATTAAAAAGTGAGTTACACTTGAGGGAAATAATTGAAAAAATAATTAATCCTTTTCTTATGTTTCAGGTACTTGCGTATATTTCAAGCGTCAGAGTCCCAGCATCAGAGTCCAAGCAGTATCCAAGTAAGAAATATAAAAGTTTCTTCCAGTTCTCAGAGTCCAGGCAGAATCCCAGTAAAAATAAAAATGTATCTTCCAGGTCTCAGAGTCCAGGTAGTAAAAATTAAAACCCTTGGGAAAAGAAAAATCACATTTGAACTAATTTGACGCTGATATTCACTTTTGTGAAATATAATAACTTTTTCCCTAAATTATGTAACAGAAAAAGTATGGTTGAAGTTAATGATCGTTTTATCACTTTCCCTGTATATCTATGTGACAAAGTGCAACCTGCATTTTCATTTAATTGAATTCAATAAATCGAATTTTGGAAAATAATTGATTTTCTTAAAACTTGGCAACAATGTCAGAAAACGAGCTAGAAACACCACTGGTCTTTTTAAATAATTTCAATAATTGTCAGCAATAGAAAATAATGTTTTCATGCATCCATAAAAATAAATAAAAATTTTAATGATCGATCGCAACTGTAGATTTCCATTTCAATATGCTTCAAGAAAAGGTACTACAATAACTTCCGTTCGATCATCGTTCGATCATCATCAGGATTCATCACATTCGATCGAACATTACTTCTAATAAAAGGACAATAAGGTTGACAACAGCCCCTTTAGGGTAGCTGTTGTGATATGATACGAGAAAAACAAAATATGGACAATACAATATACACAAGTAAAATTATACAAGAAGACATACCTCCGAGCTCAGAAGGGTTTTCCACTGACACGATCAAAAATTATTCCGGTGAGACGAGTCTCTTCCGGGTTCCACAAAAGAAATTCTAATCTACGAATGGTCTAATCGGGTCAAGACTTCCAATGGCTCCAGGAATGATAGGAACTATACTGACCATAAATTCTTCTGGAATGATGAAAATAAATAACTAGACCTTTTTCTAGAGGCGTAAATGGATCAGATAGATTGACACAAAATGGCGTGTTTCTACTCACGTAAAGTTCACTAATCCTAAAAAGAGTGAAAGGGCCACGAACAAACAAAAACCAACGACTAGTCAAGTATCAACGGCCACATTTTTCACTTATAATGAACCTTTGAAAATTACTCCTCTACGAGATGTTTTATCAAAAACACAAATTTTTCGAAAGGTTCTTGCTGAACTTGCACATGAGAAATCCTGATCATGGCAGGTCGATCGCCCTACCTTACCGACTTGAGGAAGCCGGAAACATTGGGTGGGGAATCGTTTCCTTGAAGCCTACTTTGAAAAAGTTCAAATATTGGAACGCAGGTCCATTCACCATGAACAGACTTGAGCGAACCAATCACCTTCAGCGTTGACGATGTTTGATTTCCAATACTTTCCAACATCAATGACATAAATTGAGAATCGACCTTGACGGAGTACCCGAAAATTGGAAAAACAATAATTTCATGATATTACCACAAACAATTGATTCATATTCCACAAATTGGAAAATATTAGTTTCTCGTTCGAAAGTGGGTGGAGTTTCTCCACTGGTCACTTACCAGTTTACTAAAATAAATCTGCTGAACAAACGTATTAACTTAGACCTAGGAAACTGGTCAACAGATGGCCTTAATAGGGAAATCTTGTCCAATTTAAACCATTCAACAATTACTCAACTACATTTCCAATTCTGACAAATTATCCCGATAACGTTTCGAACAATTGCTTCCTATAACAAGACTTTCCTGGAAAAATTCTCACAATAAATGAAACTGAGACTTTTCACGCCCTCTATCAACAACGGGAGTTACCCTCTCGTGATCTGGACATGACAGCTAATTGAAGATCACAACTAGATCCAATCTGGAATGGAATTCTATTCTAAGTCAACAAAGATGGTGACGGAAGTAAACAATCGAAAAAGCGATGGAATTGGACCACAACTGGACAATCATCAGCTAACAAGTGAGTAACGTTCATCATGGTCTGCAACTAGAATGAGAAAATATTTCCTGAACACGTATCTTTCAGCCCAAACGAACCTACATTATAACTTTTCATTTTTTTCAGACGGTCCACTCTCGAGATGGAGAGAGAGCTAGCCCAAATGATTTTTGTCGGCTGATGGCTAAGCAGATTCGGAGATTAACTGACCGAAAGACCATATCCGTCGATAATTTCATTAATTCATCCTCAAATCACCGTGCTTGTGACCTTTATCCAGTGCAGTGGAATATTGTCGTGACAGAACAATGGGGGATATCAATATCAATTTGAATTACAGCATCTGCAATGTATATTTGTTGTGAATAAAAAATATTGTGACAGAGTTGATGATATTCTCCATATTATATGATAAATAATTTAGGTGTCGATTTATCCCGTTACATAGTTATTTTCAGATTTAAATTTATGATGCATGTGCCGAAGAGTTAGAACCTTTTCATCGACAGTATAATAATTAATGATAAATCTTCGAAGTAATCCTTTAATCAAAACCATTTAAGTTAGTTTTAGCTGCGGCTTTCTTTCTTTTGTATTTGTTGTCAAAAAAGCAGCGGCTTCTCTATTCTCAATCGATTTCATTTTCTTCGAAATCAAGTAGAGGGAATACTCGCCCAAAGAAAGAGGACGAACACGGAACCGTCCAGGGCGCAAAAAGAAAAAGGAGAAACCGACATAAAACAACAAGAGCAACCCAAGGAAAGGGAAACAGACGCCGAAAATAAAGAGGAAACGCGCCAAACCAAGAGGCCATGCGGCCCGGACAGCGCGTCGAACTCAGATTCAGAGGAAGACGGGTTCGTACTTGTTGAAAAGGCTAGACCCAACAAAAAAACCAGAAAACGACAGGCCCAAGATAGAGCCGCATAAATCGCCAAACAAGAGGCAGAAAAACAGGCCACCGAAAACATGGAAACTGAAAACACACCTCAGATGAATAACATAGAGGGGCAAAATTCAGAAAGAAGGGGAATCATCCCCAAAAGTGACAAGTGGACTCATCGAGGAAGCAGTGGAAGAAACACTGTTACTCAATGACGAAGACGTCATCAGACCAGTATCAGAAGAAGAACTGAACGGACTAATTCGCGCCACCAAGCCCAAAAAAGTCCCAGGAGCTGGCGCAATAACCAACAGGTTATTGAAGCAGCTGCCAGACAACCAAAAAACGACGCTCAAAAACATTATCAACATCTCGCTGAATCTCAGATACTTCCTTAAGAGATGGAAGCACGCTGAGATTATAATGTTACTCACAACTACAGACCCATAAGTCTGTTAGGTTCCATGGCCAAGGTCACGATGAGAGTAGTCCCGCAAAGGTTGGACGAGGAGATCGAAGACAGACAACTCCTACCGCACAAGCAGTTCGGCTTCAGGAGAGACCACTCCTGCGAACTACTTAGACTGGTTGAAAACTCAATCCAAGAGATGAATAGAAAAAGGCACGTTCAAATACTACTGTTAGACAGTAGACGTTTACTTCATTCTGAGAAGTATGAAGTGAACGTCTACGATCCAAAAACTACAACAAAAAATACAGGTCCGTATTTAAAAATTCAAAGATGGGGGTGGCCCAAGTCAGACGAGACCCTGTATAAAAGATTCATGGATATATTCTGAGAGCCCACATCGAGTGTCGACGGCAAAATGTGGACAGATTTTTATTATGTCTGCGAATAAATAAGATATAGCCAAAAAAATAATTTGGGCTTTTTGCGAAATAGCTTAATACATAAGCATAATTAAAAAACAATATCAATTAAAAGTCAATAATTTATTCTTTACTGCACTTTTCAAACAGTTAAACTTTGATTTACTAATTACGAAAAATCACAATGAAATTAAACTAAGGGTTCTGTGGAAACAATTGAACTGAACTGAATAAGCAAAATATTTTATTGTCATATGACATTTGTTGAATGAATCAAAATAGTGTTTATCAGTTTTAGATTTGAAATAGTTTATTCGTTGTCTAGTGTGTTGTTAAAAATGCTGAATCTTCAAGAGAAAATTGAAATCGTTTTAATATGCGGTGAGAATACCGGTCACCAAAAAGTAGCTGATATTTTCAATGCCAGACATCCTGCAAGAAATATTCAACAGTCAACAGTTAGTAGGATAATAGCTAAGTTTAAATCTACTGGCTCGGTTGAGAGTAATTTTAGAAAAGCACATCAGCCTTCTAGATATACTAAAGAAGTGGAATTTGAAATATGTTTGGATGTCGTAGAATATAAAAATACAAGTATTCAAGATATTGCAGATAGAACAGATGTTAACCGAGAGAGTGTACGACGTATTTTACACAAAAATAAATTTACGCCTTATAAACCCAAATTTATAGAAAGGGACTTCGATATGCGCTTTTATTTTTCTTTTTGGTTTCAAGGGGAAAAAGAAGAAAATTATCATTTTCCTTATCAAATTGTATGGACAGATGAAGCGACCTTCTCTTCAAATGGCATTGTGAGCTCGCAAAACTGCAGGTGGTGGGCAAAAGAAAACCCACATTTCGTAATCTAATGTCGAGATCAATATTCGTTTAAGACGAATGTATGGTGTGGCATATCAAACAATCAAAATATAGGACCATACTTTTTTAGACATAATTTTAATTCTGCGGACTACCTACACTTTGTGAATACCGAACTATCTGAAGTTTTGGATAATTTGCCCCTTCCAGTGAGAAATGTTGTGTGGTATCAGTGTAGTGTGATAGTGCACCTATTCATACTACAAGGGTGGTTAAAGAGCGTCTTTTGGAAATATTTAGGGACAAAGTAATCAGTCGCAATATGGAACACTTTTGACCGTCTAGATCTCCTGATATAACCCCACTAGATTTCTTCTTGTGGGGTTACTCAAAACAACATTAACTTTGTTGAGGTTTGGCTAACTTTGAGAAATCGGCAAATGTCAAATTTTCGAAAAACTGTAAAAAAACTAAATTTGTACTAGAGAGCTAAAAATTGGTACATGGGTAAAAAATGAAAAAACAATCATCTTTTCTTCTTACCGATTTTCGAAATTTCGAGAAATAACTGAATTTCTGAACATTTTTTGGAAAAAATGTCAAATTTGACAGGGAAGAAAAATCACTTGATCGGTCATATGCATGTCATTTGGCATCATTTTTAAAGCACAACCTAATGGAGATATCAAAAGTTGCTTGAAGAGGTGAACAAAAAAAATCCCATTTGATGCGGACTTTATGTGTGACACTGTATCTTCAGAACCAAAAGAGCTGTATTCGATTTCTTCACATCATTGAATAGGTGTCTAAAATACGCAACTTTGCCATGATTTAACCACCACTCTATCTCTTATCGTTTACGAGATCCCCATGCACAGAAAGAATTTGAATAGCCCTGTATATGCGGAGTGCCGACTATTTCGAAAAAGGAGTATTTGAATTATCTGGGATATTTTCAAATGAATCAGTTTTAGAAACAGGTAATTGATGGTGACACACTGAATACTGTCATCAAATTTTTCTTCGGTCGACGTTTCATCATAACTTATGATATTTGGTGATTTCAAATTCTGCCCGCCGGCAACACTGTTCACAAGCAGTATTCTAGTTGGATATCTTTAATTTTTTTCAACTAGGAAAAAAGAAGGACGTACTTTTTCAATGGAGGACCTTACCGTTATCATCGAAGTTGATATGGAACAACAAGGCATTGTTGACTACGGCTTCGAAACGAGTTCGGATGCTGTAGCATATTTGAACAGATACCCAGCAACAGCTCAAAATGATAAATCGAAGGAGGAACCTGAGCAGAATATAGAACAGGGCGCAATATACACCACTATAATGATGTCAAGTTTGGAATCATTCAACTTTCAAGCGGGCCAAGTATATAAATACGGATGGTTTGATGGTGTAATGGAAGTTAGTAAAGGAAATGTTCCAATGGATTCTAGGCCTCATGTTTCCCCGTGTATAATGAGGGTTTTGACAAGAAATACCACACAAAGAGACGTGCTCTGAAGCACAAGAAACATATTCTCGAACGGTTTTCCTATGAAGAAATGACGGCAAGTTTTGGTTCCTTCAAAATCTGCGATAAGTAGTTGTTGATAAAAAAATTTATTTTTTTTGACAATTTTTTTTTAATAAAATTCTGTTTTAAATATCTCAAATTTGTTTCAATATGATGTTTATGTTCTGACTATCTAGCCGCTAGGTATATACTCTTAAATCTCAAGAGACGTGCTCTGGAGCACAAGAACCATGTTCTTGATGGCAAATTTTGAATCCTTGTATATATGTGATTACTAGTTGATGAAAGAGTACATTCTTTGGTGAAAAAGAATTTTTCAATAAAATTCAGTTGGAAATATTTGAAATTTGTTTGAGTAGATTTTTTATTGTCCTGGCTATCGAGTCGCTAGACATGTATACACATAAATCTCTGAGTTTCCATAAAGTACTTTTCAAGTGGAAACGATATTTGAAAAAAAAAAGAGTGCTTCTATATGATAAAATTCAGTTTCAAAGATTTGATTCAATTAGTATTAAAAGGAAAGAGTCTGCCGAATCTTAGCAATAGCTAAGGTGAAACTTCATTTCTAGAACTAGATTTCTATTGAAAATTATTCCAGTTGAATAAATTCGCTTTTGAGCATTATCTTAGTCATAACTCGAATAAATATCAAGCCCAATGTATACTAATAGAATTCGAAAGAAATATATGTCACTTTCCTATCAGAACCTTGTAATATTGAAAAGTAACCTAAATAAACCCAATTCATGCTCATTTTATCATACAAGAATCAAAAAATAAAGTCAGTCTTTTGGACTTCCCAAAAGGCTCTGTAGTGTATGACTTGTTTTAAAAACCACCTCCATAACTAGTTCCTTGGAAATCTTTCCAAAGTTCCTCGTATATATGGTTGTCCTTTCTGAAAGTCGAGATTTCGTTCATTCTTAACCTAAACTTCATTTTCCTTACTATGTCATCTACAATACCCCTCGAGAAACCGTTAGTCGCTGCTATTTCCTGTATTGTAGGTCTGTCTTTTGTGAACCTATCATGTGTTAGAGGGAAAGTCAAAAGACGATGCACTAAAAAATTCAACCTAACACGTTTGTGCTGTCCACAGTGATGTGAAATGTTAGGAATATACCTGTACGTGCTAAATATTACGTATTCTAACCCTCCATATTGTCTTCTCATTACGAAAACGTCAAGAAATGGTAGTTGTCCCTTATTTTCTGACTCATATGTGAATTTTATTGATGGACATCTATTAATTAAAATGGAAACAAAGTCGTCAATATTCGATATTTTGGTATCGAATATCGCGAAAATATCATCCACATACCTTAGCCAAATCCCAGGATCTATTTTA